ATCCAAGTGCTGGTTCTTTGAAAGAATGAGCAACATTGACAAACCTTTAACCAATCTTACCAAAAAGAATGCAATTAGAAATGAAAAAGGTGAAATCACAGCAGACACCGCCAAATTCCAGAAAACTATTAGCAGCTGCTTCACAACCTAATGCCAAAATATTGAAGAACTCATGTACCTTCAGCCATATGAGTTCTGAAAAAGTGGTCAAAAAATGTGCCCTGGAGAAATGATAGCCTCTTTAACTAATGGTGCTGGGAAAACTAGCTATCCATGTGCAGAAGAAGTAATCTAGTCCTATATCTCTCATTCTGTAGTAAAATCAAATCAACATGAACCAAAAACTTACATATAAGACTACAAACATTGAATGTGCTAGAGGAGAAAATAAGTAAAAAACTCTTGAAGACATATACATAAGCAAGGAATTTCTGAACAAAACCCCAATTGCACAAGAAATAATACCAAGAATCAACAAAGGGCTGAGGATTTAGCTCAGTGGTTCTGCTACCTGCACTGTAAGGGCAAGGACCTGAGTTCAATCCCTGGTACCAAAAAAAAAGAATTAATATATAGGACTATATCAAATTAAAAAATCTTCCATACATTAGAGATAACAATCAATGGAGTGAAAAGACAACATACAGGATGAAAAAAATTGACAGCTACTCCTCAGACAGAGTAGTAATAACTCACATTTTTAATGAATACCAAAAAATAATAAGAATAAAAGACCCAATCTAAAATTTGCAATTGAAATGAATAGATATTTCTTGAGAGAAGAAATACAAATGGTCAATAAGTACATAAAAATTATCATCTTCTGTGACCATTAAAGAAGTGCAAATCCAAATATCACCAAGATTCCATCTTATGCCAGTAAAAATGGCTATCATCAAGGACTCAAAAAACCAAGAAATACTGGCAAGGTTATGGAGAAGAAGGAACCTTTGTACATTGCTGGTAGGAGTGTAAACTAGTACATCGGTTTGGAGATTCCTACAAAATTTAAAATTTTAATGTGACCCAGCTGTAATTCTTTTTGGTATTTTCCCCAAAAGGTTAAAGTCATCATATTACAGTGATACAGGCATACCCATGTTTATAGCAACACAATTCACTATACCTACATTATGGAAGTAGTTTATATGCCTATCAACAGATGAATGGGTAAAAAAGTGGTATATATACACAATGGTGTACTAAACCATTAAGAAAGATAAATTTTAGTCATTAGTAGTCAAATGAATGGATCTTCTAATGCTAAGTGAAATAAATCAGGCATACCATATAAGGTTAAATATTCACATAGTTTCTCATATGAGAAACCCAAAATATAATATAAATATAAATAATTCAAGTAACAAAAGAAAGAGAAATGGTAGCAAATATCATGAGATGGGAAGGGGTCTGGAGAAGGGAGGAGAGAGGACTGGGAAGGTTGGAGGGAATAAGGGGAGGAAAAATGATCAAGATAAGATATGTATATGTACCAATTCCCCAAAACAAATGTAATTATATGGACCACAAATACAGACTAATAAAAAAAATAAAATAGGTGATATAATCCAATACTCCATTATCTATTTGAGTGCAACAGATATGTTTGGTCTCAGTTTGGTTGTTATATTTGGTGTTATATTTTTTGTACTTCTTTAACTAAGTATTATATTCTCTACTCCTTTTTCTCTGTTTGTTTATTGAAAGAATTTGTATTTTTGTGCTAATAGTTGTATTAATTTATAAAAAAATCTTTAATCTTCTTTTCCCTTATTTCAAAACCTTTCACATGCCTTGACATCTTTAAATATCATCAAATCCCACCTATTACAGGACAATCAGTAAGCTTCTCTGGTTTCTGCTTCTCCACTAATACGTTTTTCATTTTTCTCTTCCTGTTTTTCTACTATGTCAGAATATGTAATGTTTATACACTATTCTTCTACCTTTACCTCCTGCATTTTCTTCAATCTTAGATCTCTAATAACATATTTCTAATTTTCACTCTTTGTCATATTGTTAGTTTCTCAGTCATCTCTTGGTCAGATGAAACTCACCCTCTTGCAGATTTTTTGAGGAATACCTTATGAGAACAGGATTCCTTGAATGCTAACATTGTCTGCAGCCTTGGTGTTTAAAAATGTTGGCTGGATATAAGATTCTGAGCTCAAACTTTCTCTTCAGCATTTTAAAATGTTGCTCTCCATTTGTCTTGCTTTATATGCTACTATTAGTTTTCTTTCTTCATCTTTTTCTTGCTCTTTTTTTGTCTTTCTTCTTTTGTTCCAATTTTTTTTTAACCTAGATAGCCAACAAAATTATTTTTTATGTTTAATGTCTACTAGCTATTCTAGGTTACATTTTAGAATTGACTAGCCTAGTTGAACAGTTTTAGGAATATGTTAGGTCCATGCTATGCTTACTATCATTTTCATACTTCTAGAATGGATTCTTAGATTATAACTTTTAACTTTCAACATTAGTTCTCTTCCATTGTTTCATTTTTCTTCTTCAAACTCCCTATGTGTGTGTTGGATCTATTTCTATATACATGCCATTTTCTCTCTTATTCTTTTAATTTCTTTATTTCATTTTTCATCTCTTGACTATTTTTATTCTTTTCCTCGTTTCCATTTGTTATATTTCAGTTGAATCTACTCCTTTTATTGTTAAATTTACTCTTATTTAATTTATTTAAAATTTATTTTTAGTAGTACATGTTTGTAGTACATAAGGATTACATTCATCCTGAAGAGTTGGTTCATGTACATAACATATCTTTTTTTTTTTTTAACCAGGAATCGAACTCTGCACCTTGCACTTGTGATGCAAGTGGCGGTACCACTGAGCTAAATCCCTGGCCCTAACACATCTTAATTCTTCTTTCACCCCTTTCCCCTTCTCTTCTTCTTTTCACTCTGCATCTCTTCATTTCTTACCCTTTTGCAAAAGATCTATCTTCCTGTTTCATATTTTCTATCCTTTATTTTTGTTTTCATTTATTTTTACTTTGGGTTTCTCATATAAGAGGAACCATGTAATATTTAAACTTGCACGTCTGATTTATTTCACTTAACATTATGATCTTAGAGTAGGTCAATTTTCCTACAAATGACTGAAATTTATCTTTCTTTAGGGCAGAGTAATACTCCATTGTGTATTAATACCACATTTTCTATATCCATTCATCTGTGAATGCACATATTTTGGCATCTTGTAATTTAGTCTATTTTAAAGTTTATTTTTTATTTTTCTTTAATTTTTTTCCTAAATTTAATATTCTACACACACACACACACACATATAATCTCTTTGATTTTTTACTTCAATTTGACATATTTTATTAATATCTATAAGTGCTTGTTTAAAAATATTTAGTTCGGATCCCAGTGTTATATCATAGTTCCCACATGCTTTATTTTTGTTAGACAACTTTTTTTTCTTCTTAGTTCTTTTATTGGTACATTTTAGGTATACAATATGTTTACATTTATCATTGGGTGCTTATACCTGTACATGATGTATCTTGGTTCTTATTTTTCCCCATTACCTGTGCGCCTTTCACCCCCTCCACCCGTCCCTATTTACATAGATTTCATTTCCATTTTTTTCTTTTCTCATAATTTTTCCTTTCCCTTCTTTCCTTTCCCCTTCCCCTCCAACCACCCCTATCCCTTTGGCCCTTTTCTTCCTATTTCAAATTATCAGTTATTCATTTTAATCATTTTCATCCTTATTTACACTTTCAGTTTCTCACACTAGAGACACTATTCAGTATTTACACGTGTGTCCTATTTATTTCAGTTAAGAGTATGGCCTCAATATGCATCCATTTATCTATAAATGTCTCTAGTTTCTCATTCTTTATGGCTGAGTAGTACTCCATTTTAAAAAAATAAACCACATTTTCTTTATTTAGTTTCCAGTTGATGGGCACTTGGGCTGTTTCTAAGCTTTAGCTATTACAAACTGTGCCACTATAAACATGGGTGCACATATATCACTGTGGTATGATTCTTTTAATTCTTTTGGAAAGATACCCAGTAGGGAAATAACTGGGTCAAATGGGACCTCTAGTCCTAGTTCTTTGAGACATCTCCATACTGACTTCCACAGTGGTTGCACCAGTCTACACTTCCACCAGCAAGGGAAAAGGGTTCCTTTCTCCCCACATCCCTGCCAGCATTTGTTATTGGTTGATTTCTTGATAGCAGCCATTCTTTCTGGGGTGAGGTGGAATCTCAGTGTTGTTTTCATCTTGTTAGAGAATATTTACCAACTAATATCTTTTTTTTTTTTTTTTGGTATCGGGGATTGAACTCAGGACCTTGTGCTTGCAAGGCAGGTGCTGGAACCACTGAGCTAAATCCCCGGCCTACCAACTAATATCTTATTCTCACCTTTTGATTCTCTTTTTGTATATATAATAGTTTTGTACAAACATTGTCTTTCTAGTTACCCTAATTTTGAACTGTCTCTTCTTTTTTCCATGTTGGCAATAATGATGTTGTAAGTACAGATGAGCAGGAGGTTTCACTGACAGTGTCCCTCGGATCTGTGGATATCGCCTTTTCTTTGTGTACTGAACAGAAGCTAAGTGCTTATTTGGGGGCAGAAAAGCAGTATTTTATGTCTTCTGCTATGGGGATTCTATTATATCTGTAGACCTTTTACTCTCCAGGGCTTGCTTTCTTCTATTTTCTATAATCTTCTATTTTCCATAATCCCTTCTGTCCCAGTCACCTGGCTTGTCACTGGGACACAATGTCTGACACCCACAGCCTAAAGGAGGAGAGGTTTACTATTGTTCACAGCTTCAGAGGTTTCAGTCTACTTACGGCTGGCTGGCTCTGAGGAGAAACAGCGTGGTGGAAAGACCTGGCAGGAAAAGCCACCTGAGGCAGAGTGGGGGAGCTGGGGCGAGAGACAGACCCTTCCAGGCCACCCCCACCCCTGTAACCCGCCTCTTCCAACCAGGCCCCACTCCCAACAGAACTTACCAGTGGATGAACGCACAGCTGGGTGTAGTGACCCATAATCCAATCACCCTTCCAAAGCGGGCCTCCTAGGGCATGAGAGGGTTTTATTTGATGGGGAGAAGGGAGCCATTCTTCATTTAAACCATAACACCTTCCAAGTTCTCAGAAGAGAGGAATTTCAGGGATTTTCTTCTAATCCTACATAGTCTCTTCTTCCTATGGATCCTCAGCAGTCAGTGTTTTAAATTTGTATATCTCAAAACTGTTCTGAAGTACGACTTAGGGTATGAAATTTTCTTTCTGGAGAGAGATAAATTTTGTCATCTCACGTCATATTAGAACTCTTATCTATTTCTTTTTTCCATGTAGTTTCTCCACCTTTCTTCTCTGGCCCACTCTGGAGCTTGCTCTCCTATTTACAGAGTCTATGTATTCTTAGAACTTTCCTTAGGTTCTCAGTGTGGGTTCTAAACACCTTTGTTTGCTGTTCTTATTGAATTTTTAAAATAAAATAGGTAGAAATTATTTAAAAGTTTCTTGCATATTCCTAAAGTTGATACCTTATTATTATTTTCTTCATAATATTAATGCATTAGATTCATACAGCATATTATTTTCCTCATAGCACTTTTATACATAGTCCTTCATTTGCTCAATGATTCTTTGAAATAAGCATATTTCAAATAAGAAAATTGAAACTCAGAAAGGTTAAGTGAATTCTTCAATGTCACATATGCTATAAGAATTCAAATTGAATTTCAGGTATCCTAACTTCAAATTTAATGTTCTTTCCGTACTACCCTGCTGTCATTTTCATGGTATAACAATCTATGGAATCTCTCCTGGAAAGAAATAAAGAAATATTTTCCAAAAGACTCACTCAATATCTTCCAAAATAACATGATTCCCAAGTAAGGTATTGGAAACATTTAAGCATTATAATGCTTTTTTTGCATACACAAGTTATGGATATCAGCACATTCAAGAACTGTAGCTACTCACTCTGAACAATGCAATGAAATTAAACCATGAAGGGCAATATTAAGAGGTCAATGCAATCTCACCCTCCTCATTACACTCATGGGTGGGTATTTGCAGAAATGATGACATGTACCACAGCTTATGATGAAGAACCACTGAGAAGGAGGTGCAGAAACAATTAAACAAAAAACTATGGCAAAGAGAAGGAAGTCAAAAGACATTCTGACCTATCAATTTTGTGATTAATGAAGGAAATTGTATTGACATTTACCAAATACAATTGATGGAAAATGCTTATACTTTCAGAAGAGGAAGAAATAATAATTAATATAGAAAATTAAAGTAACTAAATCCCATTTCCAAGTCTGATAATAAATCTACTGTCCTGAGTAAGTAACTTGATTTTGTTGGATCTTGGGAAAGATCACTAATATTCTGTAATTCCAATACATAATTTGGATTTTTAAAGACCACATAAACACATATCTGTTTGAATACATATCTGCAGAACATCAGTTCTCTAGTCAATATTTGCTTTCTGAGAGGACCCTGGGAGTGATCATATGGAGTACTTCTCTCTCGTGTATTAACATTTGTAAAAATTATGATTAAAAATTAGGAAGCAAATACTAAATTTTATAGATGTCTCAAAGCTGGTAGAAGTTACTTATTCTTAGTTGACCAAGTTATAATGAAAACAGAATATACACAACACATGCTTACATATATAGAAAATAAAAGAAAAGTCATTCAATCTTGAAAAAGGCATGAATATTAATTACCAACAAACTTCAGGTGATCCAATTTTGTGATACAGTGCCACCAAAGCTAGAGTTATCTGAATGACTATAGTTTTGCAGAATAAAGATAGCTTTTCACTGAGGTTTGATTGGATCAGAATATGTGTAAAGTACTATCTACCCTGAGTTCTGATTTTAAAGACATGTTGGAAAACTGGAATACAGCCGGAAAAGGTTAGGGTTTTAAAAACATGTTATATATGAACTATTGAAGATTATGTTTGGTGTTGTACAAAAAAATTCTAATATGTGCACAATACAAATGTTTTCAATATTTGAAGAAATAACCTCTAAAATCTATTCTCTGTTACTTCAGAGAAAATCTAGAGACACCAAAATGAGATTTATAGTGTTGGATCCATTTAATAAAATTTTCTAACAACAAGAGCTCTTCTCAGATGAGATATAGTTATGTGTACTTAACAACTGAGATGCTTTCTCAAGAAAGGCATTATTTGGAGCTGGGAATGGTGATGCACACTTATAATATTAGCATTCTGGGAGGCTGAGGCAGGAAGATCTCAATTTTCAGCCAAGCCTGGGGAACTTAGCAACTTGGCAAGACCCAATCTCATAAATGGTTGGCGGGGGGGGGGGGGGCGGTTGCAGCTCAGTGTGAAAGCCCTGAGTTCAATTTCCAGTACAACTCAAAAAGAAAGAAAGGATGAAAGGGAGGGAGGGAGGGAGGCAAGGAGCGAGAAAGAAGAAAGAAAAAAGAATGGAAGGGAGGGAGGAAGGGAGAGAGAAAAAGAGAAACAAAGGCACTGTTAGGAGACATCACTGATGTCACTGTAGACTGTACTTATGGGAACTAAGATGGCTACATTATCACTAGGCAATTTAATCTAAGGGACTACTGTCATAAATGCAGTTTAGTTTGTTTTGCATTCATAGGGTCAGTGAACCCAGGGCCTCACCTATGCTAAGTCAGGACTCCACCGATGAGGCACATTACATCTTTGCTTAACTGCTTTGTAAGTGGTGAAACCCCACTGTACCAGCACTGCCCCCAGGCCCTGCACACACACTGAAAATGTCTAGTCAGAGTTCAGATAATCTCATACTAGAAGTTATGTGAAAGATTCCTGTATTATATGGGCTAGATATTTTTCTAAGACTGATTACAACCGTGGCTAAACTAAACACATAGTGATACTTTTTAAAAGTATCATCTGGAATCATTATACATAAATTCTACTTCTGGAAATCTGAAGCATAGTTTCAAACATGTGTTTTAAAATTCTTATTCTGGCTTCTTTAACATGAGAGATTTATATTCAATACAATATAAATAATTTAAAGAGCAAAATAAGAGTCACGTCAAGAAGGAGGGAGGGAGAGATGAGAAAGGGATGTGGAGAGAAAGAGAAGAGAGGCGGAAAGGTAGGGGAATAAAAATGATTGCGACGTGAAATACATCTGTATCAACCCCATCACAAACATAGAGTAATGAGAAATAAGATAAAATTTGTGTTCAGTAGGTCAATGTCTAACACTGTATCTTCTACTGGCTGTCCATGAGTGGAGTTTACAGTCTCATGTGTAAGATGAATACTAATTTAGGAACCATACTATTGATATAAAGATATAATTACAACCCCAGATAAGTTATCTGAAAGAAGGAATATGGGAAGAGTATAGAATAAATGTGATATAGCCTAAGGGCCAAGAAAAGTTTTCACTGAGAAAGAGCACTTAGCTAAGACCTAAAGGGTAAGTTTAGTAGGTAATCAGAAAAGGTTCAGTTAAAGGGGGCATTCCAGACAGGATTACAGAATGTGCAAAGGTCCTGTGGTAAAAATAAGAATGAAAAGTTGGAAAGACAGAAAGAAGAGAAGGCTGATTGAACCAGGAGGAAGAGTAAGGATATTGAGAAATGGAAGGAGAATTGAGATAGCAGAGGTTGACCAGTGTAGGGGCCATGAATTATTTATGCTGAGGATTTTGGCCTTGATACTATGAGAAAAGCAAAAGTCCTGCTGGATTTTAAAATAGATAGATGGATAGATAAATGCAATGTGTGTGTGTGTGTGTATATATATATATATATATATATATATATGCAGTGTATGATATATAAAATATATCATATATTAAATATAAATATATAATATATTTTATATATGGATATTTAAAATATATTATGTGCAAAATATTATATATATATGGAATATTGGGGCTAAGTGCCTTGATCAGAGTTGCAGTTTTAGATGAAAATCCTTGCAGCCTTGTAGAAAATACATCAACAGTGCTAGAACAACATTAAATATCATGGGGTCCTAAGCACACATGACATAGAATTAAAAAGAAAACAATACATTTGGGAGCTATCTACAAGACATAGTAAATAGGGTTTTGTGATGTACTTGACTTGGGGTAAGGTTCTAATGTTCCCAAACCCTGTTCAGGATTCAGTACTTGTCCTACTGAGTGATGGCAATGTGATTCACCAGGACAAGACCAGTGAAACAAGATACAGTGTCATAGTGGCATTAGGATTCTTTCTAAATACAATGAGATTTGAGATGCTTTTCTGATACTGAAATGAACTTGTATAAACTATGTTACACATGAGTCCTAAGGTCTAAGGAGAGGCAGCACACATGGTTCTGTCCCACTGAAAGTGTTCTGGAAAGAAGAAAGTCTCATCAAAACAATAGTTAGATGGTTTTAGATACAAACAATTCTTCAGTTATCTTAAAAACTGTAGCAGTTCAAAAGTACATTCAATGTTAAATATCAAGATTATTGGCATCTACTGCGTGGGTGCCATCTATTAATTAAATCAGCACAATTTTAAAGAACAAAGATAAGACCAAAAGCCCTTGGAGCTTTGGTTAAGATGCCTGGCTGGGTCTGCATTTGCACTGCAGTGATTTTTTTGATAATGAGATAGTGTGTACACTCTCATGGGAGCTGAAAAGACTTCAAAGAAGTCTTCATCCACCTTCCCTCATTCCTGTAGGAGAGAAGCCAGAGCATGTGGAGTCAGTGAATAGGATGTGCAAGGTGAGAAAGCAGCCCAATTAAATTTCTGGGGAATGATAGAAGCAAATAAAAAGTAAACCCTACGTGCAGCATCTCTGGTAAGCAAGTAAGTTAAAAAGAATTGGAAAAAAACAAAAAGAAAGAGGCAGGCCCTGGCTATCTTAGAATTTTACTCTTTGACCCTTTTCCCATTTATTATTTGTCAATCTGTGATAAAATGTGGGTTCCATTCACACCATTTTCTAATAACAATTTAACTGGCAAAGTAAGCATTGCTAAATTCAGAGAAGTTTCTCTAATTAGAAAGACAGGACATT